TAGCTTTTTTTTTTAGAGCATCCGATCAAAGGAATGAATGGAAAACCATGATCGCCGATGTCTGTCGCAGATCTGACACTGGATGATGATGATGATTGCTTGCTCTTCTGCCTTTTCTCTCCTCCAATGTGCCTCAGTCTTATCTCGCAGATGGATGATACATTTACTCTTGAACAACCTTTCTGTGTTTAACCTGAGGGTTGATTAATAATCCAAAAGTATACGTACACTTTCTCGATTACATTTTTTTCTGTCTGTATGTATGTGATCTGTACAGTTTATCCACTGGGGGCATATTATCATTCTTGGAACACCTTGCCGTTTTATACACCATGAGATATCAAACATGGTACACTCATTTCAAGATTATTGTCTACTCCATTTTTATGAGATACTAACAAAAACGTCCAAATAATGCTAATGGCGAAGTTATTACTCTTTCTTTTCTAGGGCAAGATGTATCTTGAAGGAACATCATTATCATCATCATAATCACTTCTTAGGTCATCCTGCATCGGGGTATAGGCCACGAACTAACAATTTCTACCTTTCCCTATGCTGGGCTAGTCTCTGGATATTGTATCAATGTTTTCCCGTTCTCCGTGACTTTTCTCTAAGTTTAAATTAGCCTTCCCCTTGATCTCTCACCCTATGGATTCCGATCCTACGCTTTCTTTGTTATGCAGCTGTCTTAGTTTCCTGCGGGAATCTCAAATCAATCGCTAAGATATTTGTGTTGACTGAACTGTCCAAGGAATTACATTAAATTTACAGTTTCCTGTTAGTTTGCAACTGTCTCATTCTACGTTGTTGGTTGTTTTTCGTTTTCGGGGACGGGAGGTTTTTAATTTTTGGGGGATTTTTTTTTACTCTTTTTTTTTTTTTAAATCATCACTACCTCATTCGATTTCTTTTCTTATCTCACTATCCATCGTGAAGGCTCACAGCGTTTGTCACGAAGACGTTCGCTCAAGGCGAGCAGCTCAACGCGTACCAGGAGGTGTTCCCGCTTGACCATAACGTCCTGGAGCGTTCGGTGGACTGGATGTCCAGACAGGTCAACGGCAACGGAGAGTTCATTGAGTACGGAAAAGTGTTCAACAAGCGTATGCAGGTCAGTTCATTAAGTTGGAGGTATACGTATACGCACACGCACGCGCACACACACACACACACAC